TAGGTCTTATGTTGAGGAAAGACTTGGTGGTGGATCTATGGTCAATGTTTGCCCATCATATAGATGTGAACAATCTGAACATACAAGGACCTATGCAAGGATAGCTCTGGAGATTCACTGTGCTATATGGCTGGCCGGAGGCTACAAACAAACACAAAACATTCAAACTACTTGAAATGCCGCGGGATGACTCAAGGGGGGCTTGGGTGGTCGGGGCCCGGGGGGTGATTGGATTGAAATTTGTTTAAATTCAGAAAAGAGAGGGGGTGTTGTTACTTGTTAGGAACCAAAGGATGATGGAAGCCATTATTTTAATTGGGATATGAGGGTTATGATTTCACTTGGTGGAATAGAAGAGCAGGGGGGAGCTGATAGAAGAGAGGCTGGACAGGTTTGTTGCAAATAGTGAGTGGACAATCATGTTCCTAGAGGCAAAGGTGATTCACTTGAACGAATATTTGTCCGACCATCTAAAGTTATGGGGGGACGAAAATGGTAGGAAAAAGAGGAAAAGATTTTTCAGACGAAGCATCAGAGGTAGTGTAAGACAAGGAGGCCGCAGCAACCTTAGATGATTTTGATGCAAGCAAAGATCTGTCTAATGGTGGGAAGGACAGAACATCAAAGGCAGTGGAAGACGAGGAAGTTGCAGCAGTCGTGTAAGGTGCTGATTTTTCTCCAGGTTGGCTTATGTTGGATCCTCTAACTCTCCCCATGTTAGAAGCTATGAGCATTAGACGAAAACAACTTGAATGATTTCAGATCAAAATAGAACGTGTAATAACCAAGTCGAGAGAGCATAATCAAATACTCCGTAGATAAGACTGAAATTTTAGTGTGAATACACAAGAGGACAATACATGTTGGGCGAATTGAGTGTGGAGGCTCGACCAGGAAGGGCAGCCGGCCCTAGTCTTGGTTCGACCCATATGGCAGTAAATTAGGTTTTTTAATTTAGCCGGCCCTAATTCTCTATGTGGGCTTGGGCCTAACTTGGGGATTAAGTTTTCAACCCTAGTTTAGTCTTCATAAATAGGGATCTCTGTACTTCTAATTCTGTGAGCACCTGGATAATAAAAACCCTAGTTGCAAAGTGGATTAGGTCAGCCGACCGAACCACTATAAATCTTGTGTTCCGTTTTCTCCGTTTTGATTTCTGTTTTGTGTGTGTTCTTGTTTGGTTGTGGTTTGCTATTCAGTATTCATAGATACCCCAACAACTGGTATCGGAGCCTTAGGCTCGTGATCGTTGAAGTCTTCCCTCGGGTTTGTGGAGATCAGGTTCAAATCGAAGATTAGGGTTTTGAAGGGTTTGAAGATCAGTTCCGCCACCGTCATAGTTTCCGCTGCAGAATACGGTCTGGACTGTCTTGTGAACAGTAACCGCGCCGCCGTTGTGAACAGCCGCTGCTGCTAGGGTTTTGTTTAGCCGCCGCTGCTAGGGTTCCGAATAGCCGCTGCCAAGGTTAGTTCGTTATTGGTTTTTTCAATCTCAGATCAGTTTTTCAGCCGTGTATGGAAACAATGGCAGATGAAAAGATAAAGATTGAAAAGTTTGATGGAAGTGATTTTGGGTTTTGGAAGATGCAAATCGAGGATGTTCTTTATCAGAAAGACTTATACCAAACGTTATCGGGAGAAAAGCCAGAAAAGATGAGTGATGCAGATTGGGCGATTTTGGACAGGAAAGCTTTGGGAGTGGTTAGGTTGTCATTGGCGAAGAGTGTTGCTTTCAACATAGTCAATGAAACGACTACGCATGGGTTAATGAAAGCTTTGTCGAATATGTACGAGAAACCCTCAGCATTGAACAAGGTGTTTTT